AGTGAAAAACAGAAGCGACACACACCTAATTTACACATAGAATAAGATTTCCCCTGAACCTTGTAGCCAAAACACATAGCCACCCAAACTGAAAACTTAGTCAAACCTCGAAGCACAAAAACCAAACAAAACAACAAACCGGAGCCTTAGAATCAAAAACTGCGTCCAAGATCAAGTTGCCTAGGCAGATCTGGCAAGAAGGCAATTTTCAACCCAGATATGCGCTCCGAAGATCTTTAGGTAATCGCTTTTAATTTCATAGTTACAATTAGTTTAAAATCAAACCAATCAATCTTGTTAGAATGTTTAGGACCCTTGTTTTTCATTTTTGTGCTTTAATGACTAGCTAAGTGAAAAAAACTTCGAATAGTCTTCCTTGAGAGATGACTCGATGTTTTGAATAACAAGGTTATCCATCTGTTTTCCAAAATTACTACAAACAAAATGGCGTAATTGCCGGGGAAGGCAAGTAAGATGCCAAGTTTGCTGACTAGCTTCTCTTGGTTTTTCGTGCCTTTGCTTAATTTCTGTATTTGTCTTACTTTCTTTTGTTTTTAAGTAATTTAGTAGTTGTTTCATTTTTATTTCTTGTGTTGGTTTCTTGTTTCCAATTGGTGCCTTCACGAGTATAGTTTTTGGTTTTTTGTGTATGCGAGATAGACGGATGCGAGGTACTCGAGAGGAGACACCGACGATTGAACTCTATGTTGAGTTAAACATAAATGAGACACATCCCGAACTAGAGACCATGGCAGATCAAGAAGAAAACTTGCCCCCGTCCAAACATGAGATACTTCGCACGACCCATTATCGGAGACAATACATCATGTATCGTGATCGGAAAAGCAGCCCGAAATTCCATCATTTTATGGCTTACCTCAAGAGGACGTCTTGAACTTCATTCGAGAATTCTATGTGACGGTTAACACCTTTCCTTTACAAGGGCTTAACGAGAATAAACTTCGAATGCGGTGCTTTTCTTACACCTTGAAGGACCAGACGAAGACGTAGAATATGACCCTCATTTCAAATTTGTTTACTAGTTGGGAGGCGGTGTAGAATAAGTTCATGGGGGAAGTACTACTCTCATCAAAAGACGACGAATCTTCGGGTCCAAATGGCAAGTTTTAGTCAAGCTTTTGGAGAGACTTTCCATGAGGCGTGGGAGCGTTTCAAAGGTTATCAACTTCATTGCCCACATCATCTTAAATTAATTTTTTCACGACGACCTTCATCAAACCTTACAATAAATGGTGGAGCATGCAGTCGTAGGTGATATTGGCAGCCATATCGAGGAGGACATTTATGAGCTATACGACATGCTAAGCGAAAACTCTCAAAGAAAAAGCGTTCGGAAGCGGGTTCCCGTGAATGAAGTTACTCCTTCATCCGGATCTTCGACAAATGATGCGGTCTTGGCTAAATTGGCCTCTTTAGAGGAAAAAATCTAATATCTTTGCCTTAAGGATGAAAAGTGGACTTAACTAGCAATGGCAGAGGTTTGTGGAAGTTGTGGAGATTTGGGGCATGGAGCCTAGGAGTGACCGAGGTATGTGGAGCCTACCTATGATCTAAATTTTGAATGAGTCCATTTTGATGTCAATGTCTTGCAAGGGTATCTTCCCCGAGTTTAAAATGATCTCTACTCAAACACATACAACCCCAGTGTTGGGTTCTATGAGAAACATCGTCAAATGCACATCCGAATGTAACGAATTAAATCCTAACGTAGTAGAATCTATAGTTAAGAATAGGACATTATCGCTTAAATTTTGCCGACTCTGAGATGTTGTAGATTTTCTCTGTAGGAGATCGTTGATGTATATGGAGGTTTTGGTGTTGATGGACGAGACGGGTCAAAAGTGTACGTGACTCGAAAAAGCCTCGCGAAGGCCTAAAACAGCGTACTCGTGGGCCAGGAATTGCATAAGAGCACGCATGAGGCAGCGCACGGGTCATTGGGACCAAGACCTGGCAAGATCGTGCAGGCCTTGGATAGACCCGATGCGACTGTGCAGGCCTCGGAGAGACAAGGCGTGACCACGCAGATGACTGCGGATGACTGCGGGAAGCAGCAGGCGCGACTGCGCGACAGGCAGTTACGCGCGCGGTACTGCACGACCCGTGAACGACAGCGCGCCCGAGCACTTGCGACCTGGGCGAGATGTTTCGCGGGCGCGGAAAGACAAGGTAAGGGCCTTGAATACACTTGCGACCTGGGCGAGTTTATTCGTGGGTGCGAACGTGCAGACGCGGACGGGCAGCGCGCATGAGATGCACGCATCATGCGGACGAGGCAGCGCTGCCATCGCACTGAGGACCGAGCACCTCGGGCACGCGGACGGGATGCGCGCGCGCCAGATAGAGACCTACGCGAGATGATCGAGTCAACTTCCAAGAGTCCGAGCATACTTAGGTCTGGGCGCGACCAACGTGTCTTGGGGCACAAGTTCAACTTTCTAGAAGGAAAATCTTCTAGAATGCATATCTATTTTAATAGTTAATGATTTCTAGTAGGTTTAGATGTCTTAGAATAATTGGAATGTGCCAAATTAATTTTTGGTAATTAATAGGATTCTAGATTTATTATTTTTTTAAGATTAGAATTTGATTCCTCATAGGATTAGTTCTTCATTTCCCATAGGCAAGCCTTTTCTCTTCTATAAATAGCCTATGTATTCATCTCAATTTTCATGATGTCTTGAATTAATGAAAACCCAACCTTTGGTTACCAATCTCTTGTGTTCGAATTTTTTTCAGTCTTAGTGCAAAATCCTTAGTGTCGAAAATGCATGGCGTTTCACCGCATAGTTCGTCATAAGCTTGAACAATAATCAGAAGATAAGGAATGCAAGGAAAAGAAGTTAGGGGCTGAAAATCAAACATTTTCTGTGGAAAGGGGTTAACAACATTCTCCTAGTACTTTACAACATCAAATCTAGAGGATTGCAAATTGACCAGAAACCCTAAGACAATCTGTTTTTTCTTTGCAAAAGAGCTAAGCTGATTTGAAAGCTCTCATCGATTTCTTGGGAAGGTCTACATAACAATCACAGTTGCTTCAAATCTTGGTGGTTCAAACTATGTACAATCCCTCACAGGCCACAGTCCCCCAGCTGAGGCAAGAATCCAGCTATCCACATATATACTTTGATGGATTTGAAAAACTCGTAACTTTTAGGTGTTCAAGAATTCTTAAGATCAGAATTTGACTGTTGCTATTGCTAGTAGTGATTGGATTGAATTTTCTAGTGTAAGTTTTATTTAGTTTGGTTATTCTTCTAGTCATTTTGATACCAGGCTAGGATCCATTTGGATCAGTGGCATACTATTTTTGCTGCCTTCTTTGCTCCTCTCATTGGGGTGCTTTTCAGCCTTGGAAGTTTGGTCCCGAGTTCATTATGGCTTTTGCCTTTGTCGGGAACAGGTTCAAACTTGTTCGTTTTGCTTGTTTTTGGAAGCTTGAGCTCTTCCTCTCTTTTTTTGGGGCCAGTTAACTTTCGAACTTTGTATATATTTTTATATAAATTATATATATTCCGTTGTTTCCAAAAGAAAAAAAAAAACAGAAACGAAATAGACAGTAGTTGCGACTTTCACGGCTGGGAACGAAAATATAATGAAGTTTGACTTTGACCTGATTTTTGTGATTAGCCGTAGAGCTTGGGTTCGAAAATATTATTTCAAAGCAACGTAAATTGAATCACATAACCCGAGTGGGAAAATGAATTACATAAATAATTTTCCTATTCATAGTCAAATCATAGTGTGAAATCAAATATCACATGAGCAAAGAAAACTGAAATAAAAAAATAAGGTGGTCCATATGTATTCTTGACTTGATCAAACTCGATCCAATTGAGAAACCAACTACCTTGCAGGCATACTTTAATCATTAGTAAATTATACAACTTTTAAATGAATACATTTGTAATATCTTTTAAAAAACTAATACAAGTAATTATAAGATATCTTTCAATATAATATGCATTTTTATTTCAACAATTATAATAGTTAGACCGCGGAAATCTTTAAACTGTCCCACACAAAAATTTATTAAAAATATTTATTTTATTATTATAGATAGTCCTACTCATCTTCATCATGAAATAATTGTAAACTTAAGACGAGCAATATTATTCAAACAGAGAGACCCAGAAATTATTAATTCATTAGTCAAACTCGCAGGAATTAATTAATTATAATATATATGTTTCTTGTGCTAGTTGTAAGAATGCCAAAATAAAATATCTTATATCCAATAAATAAACAATTGATTTTCTTTTCTCATCACCTGCATATATATGAAGAGTGGCTTGGCTTCACTTAATTGAACATCTCCCAAATTCAAATCAATTCTAATAATTTTTTTGAGAAAACAGAATGGCAACAAACAGCACAAAGAGTTTCAAAGCGACGAAATTTATTATCGCGATCATGTTCGTGTTTGCTCTTGCACTGATTATAAGTTGCGATGCAGCTCGACTTGCTTACCAAGGTACAATATATTAGTGCAATTAGTATTATTCATCTACTCATTTTAGG